CAATGTGTGGTAGATATACCTCTCTGGTTTCCAAACTGCCTTCTATCAAGTAAAGGTTCAATACATTTAAGGATGACATTTGAAATTTTGCCTTCGGCAACTTTGGCCAGGGTAGGGTTTTTCTATTACCGGGGGAAATTGTTTCCCCCGGTAATATAGGCCTTGTATAAGGCGTACGTACGACTTAATAAGGCGTACGTACGGGTTAGGAAAATTTAAAAAAAAATCACCATGTCCCTTAAACAGCTTCGTATAGATTTATCAAAGCATATTAGTTAATAACAAGTAAATTATTGTTAAATTTAGAATTTAGTTTTATGTTGTTTTGACGTCCCGACTTCCTTTACAATTTTTCAGAATTTTGTTTTATTTTCTGTTACTGCATCAATATAGTACTGCGATTTGACTCTACTTTCTTATTTATTCTGATTTCGAAAATATATGAATTGATCATAATGTGCAGGATCCTTATTTTTTTTAATTTACAAAGGAATTTGTCTCTTTGCCTAATTAAATTTAGAATTTCATATGTCATCCATGGTACAGTTATTTGCTTAATTCTGACTTTTTTAAATAGTGCAATTTTGTCTAACAATTTAGTTGTAAAAATCATCCATGCATCAGTAACATTCTTACAGTCAAACACATCCGACCAGTCTATTTCATTTAATTCTATTAAGAGCAGGTCTTTACAGTATGTTCAAAGTGATCGAATCCTAATTGTTTTATGTTTATTAAAAGTTGTTTTTCTTATCTTTCTAGTACAGTAAATTAACATGTGGTCACTAATGCCAATATTTATTACCCCTGACTAACTGATTTTATCTTGCTCAGACACCAAATACAAATCGATAGTACTTTGACTAGAGCACAGATTGTAGTTGGACTCACAATCAATTGCTTAAGATCAAATACACGTTGGTAAGATCATATACACGTTGGCTTAAGATCAAATACACGATAACCCCGTGACAGGCGTTCTTTTTAACAGCAATCGTCGAGTTCGTGGAGGGAAGGGCGTCCGTTCTTTTGCGTATAAAAACAAGATGAAGAAATAGTTCCGATCGCATTTTCAACTCCAAGACGGATACGGGACGTACGGTACAGGACAAAAAAAAAGATTGGGTCAGTGGACCGTCATGTCCGGCCTCGTCCATGGTTTCGCGGCTACGGCGACGACGACGACGACGTCTATATTGTTCCAGCGGCCAGATCCAGTTGGATCTGTCCTACCTTCCATTGTGTTCGTGCACGATCGAAACGACGGTGAGGTTTTTGAGGTTTCTGGACGAAGACTGCAAGTCGAAAGAAGACTTTGGCAACCTGACGGCATACGTGCTCGCGATGTCCGTTGGCGCTTACCTGCTGCTGAATGACATTCTCAAAGATGCTGGACCTGCTCGGCTTTTGCGAACCGTTCGTCGTCGGTCGTTGAGTGACGGAGGCACTAAACGTCAACACCGGCTTTCGCCGACAGTTGGTAGACGTGCGGATACACTTCAGAAACGTCATCGCCTCGCGTTCTCGGCGACACCTTCCTGTTCCAACTGCGATGGACCGAAGGTCGAAAATACAATTGCCAACTTATGTGGTGGGGAATTCTGGACGCCATCGAGACAGAAAATCTCCTGTACTTGATACTGACGTTCAACCAGGTGCACGGCCTATACGAACTCGCAAGTTCGCCGATGTTTGCTGAAGTGGATGACCGTGTGCGACGACGTCTCGTGCGGCAGGTTCCTTTAAAGTCATGTCTGTCGGAAGCGAACTCGTGGTTGATCGGCCACGCGTGCCATCCCAGAAAGGTCCGAAAGAGCTACTGCCTGTCGTTAGCGGACGGGAGGATCGGTTCCGCGACCACGGACGAGCTGCGCGAGCACAATTTTAAGGAGTTGGCCGAGTTGATGCGTCGGAAACTGAACTTCGAAGAGAAGCTCCGTTCCGGATTGGAAGCCATTGACAGGTTGGCGTCCGACGTGTCCCGCACGCTGACCACCGTTGACGGATCGAAGAAAACGTTTTCACGACTTAACACGATCGTCGATTCTGATAAACGGGTGCGGTTCGCCGTCCGACGTTCTTGGACTCTTCCCCGTCTTCTCGCCGTTACCGGATGTCTGCCGATGACGGCTTTATTGGAATTATCGATTTACTGCGGAACGCACCTCTACCAGGAGGACGTGCGGATCTTACCAAACTTCGTCCACTGAGGCTCGTCACGAAAGAAGCAATCGCACGTCGAAAGGTCTTCCCGGTCAGTAACGACATGCCGACGACCGAACAAACCTGCAACGGAAAAATGCCTGCTGGACAGAAGGAGAGAACTGATCACCGAATTCGTCAACGTCTTCTGCGACACAAATCGGTTGCGAGAAATGTTCCCCAACAGCATGGATCTGTGTCGATGATCTCTTCAGAGTCGTCGATACTTCGAAAAACGCAAACGTGGTTTCGTCAGGGACTGTCTGAACGTCTTCAACCTATTCCAATGCGAGAGAAGCCAATTGCAGCAGTTCAGGAAGGTGTAGGATACGGTCATGTTCGTCGAAATCGATCTGTCGGATTGATATCGACCCCAGGGTTATTCCCTTTCCCATTTCGAGAAACAGCTACGGTTGTTGTATGCAAACTACCATAAATTTCTGAAAACCAGACGTACGTACGTACCAACGAATGAATGATTAAATAAAACTATGGATTTAAACAAATTATGGACCTAAACAAACTACAAGTTGCGTGTTTTATGTTTCAATACATAAAAGGCCAACACCCAACCTCTATATTAGCTTTATTTCATGATTATAAACCACAGTTATTGCTTAAAAAATTCAAACTCACTTTACGTTCCTTTTGTAAGACTAACTAAAAGCTAATTTTTTATTTCTGTATACGGACCGAAATTATGGAATGATACTCCTGTTAAGTTTAAAAATTGCAATAGTACCCACACTTTTAGAAAGCAGATGAAGAAATATTATTTAGAAATGTACCAATCTTAACTTTATTTAAATATTTTATTATATATATATATATATATATATGTATATGTATGTATATATGTATGTATATATAATATTCAAACATATACACATGCATATTCTTTGAAAAGCTACAGGGTAGCCTACGATGTTCCATCTTGTCCTTATTTAAACACTGTATATGTACCTTTGATGATTTATATTGTATGTATGTAGGCCTGTGTATATGTGTGTGTATGAGTGTATATGCGTGTTTGTGTGGGTGTGTGTGTGCATATATGTATATGTGTACGTATATGTGTGTGTGTTCGCGTATGTGTATGTGTATGTATATATATATATATATATATATATATATATATATATATGTATTATATATAATGTAGGTCTACTTGATATGCTTTTATTAGAACTAAAAGAACTAAATTATTAGTTTTTACTTTTTTTTTTGTCGGGGTCAAATTGAGACAAGCTTCGCTTCTATTTTTTATCCTAATTAATTAATTAATTTTAATGTTGTCCACATTATTTATCATTTGATGTATTTGATTAATTAATTGAATGAATGTTAATTGAATAGAAAAAATTGAAAGCTTGAAGAAAACACAGAACCAGTGTGTGACGTATTTAGTCTTTCTCTATTGTTTTTCGATGCTAACGCCGTAGTCTGCGACTTCTTGGTCTGCGACCACGGAGGGCGAAGACCTCCTTCGCGAACACACCATTTACGTCGTACGACTTACTTTGCCATCTTATAGCGTTCGCCTTTCCAGCGTTGCACGATGTCTGTCCAGAACGGAATTTTACGGTGCGTCGCCAGACCTCAGACGGCCCGCCGTCGATCGGCCACGGCAATAGGTTAATATGCCGTCGGTCCTGTACACGCGATTTACGTTTCGTCCGCGGACACCCCGATGGGCTTGTTAGGCAGGAAGGCGAACGTGGAGGTGGTGTACGCAGTGGACGCTCCAACCGCCGAGGACGACGTTCTATTCGACATGAGATGGTCGTCGGACATGGTGGTTCTCAACGAACGACGGGGCGTCAGGTGCAACGTGTCTTTTTTGAATGCCGTGTCCATGGGATGTCACGCGCTCGTCAGACGTGCGTCCGGGCACAGGACTGTGTGGCGCATCCTAGACACGAAAATGATACCGTAGCGTACGTGGGCGAAGAAACCGAACGCTCGAATACGGCGGCAGCAGAGCTTCCGACGACGTCTGATTTGGCGCCAACATCTTTTGCCGTCGATTACGACGAGTCGTTGGACTACGCCCTCGTGGCTCATTTCGGCGACCTGTACTACGACTCAGATCTGGACAGGGTTTCGGTGTCGATTGTGGCGATAAGAAGGAGACGGCAGCCGGAAAAGCTGCTGAACGAGATGATCGCGAAACTGACGGCGTGCAAGGTGTTTCCAATCAGTGTGTGCTGGCTTTCGTCGAACAAGACCTTTTACAGGACGACCGTCAGATGGAAGTACTACGGATTGACAGCCAGAGAGCGGCGGAAAGAACAACTAGCGTCACGTCGTGGTGTAAAGTGTTTGCATTTAAATCTCTTTAATTGGTCCTCACGTCCACACCACACTCTAGATTGACACTAAGTATTAGGTGGCACATCCTATGGTCTATGATTCGACAAAAGTAAGGATCGAAGCATAGAAAGTGATCAAAGTGCCATTCGAAAAAAAAAATTAAATTTAAAAAAAAATATTATAAAGGCTATACATGTGTGTACTTGCAAAGGTAAATACATATTTACTAATTTACATAAAGCATTTAACGTAATAAAGTTTAAATTTTAAAACTATTCATTTCCACACAATTAGACTCAACGGGTAACCCATTTTGGGCCCTTGACAAGCAGGGCTAAACATAGGCGTCATATACATTTGTAATTTAAACCTTTTTTATGTAAACGGTTATAATCGGCTATATACAATTTTGTTTGCGAAAAACTAGGCCTACATCATAAAAAGGGAAGTTACTAAACAATTTCCATTTATAATCTTTTTAACAGGTTTTTATGTTACAACGTCAGCGCTTTTATATTGCGAAGAAATTCATCTATATGGATTTTGGCCATTCTATACGGACCTTCATAATAGACCAGTCAACTACCACTATTACGAAAACGTCAAATTAAAGAAATACGGACATTCATTTGGGAAAGAATTTAAAGAATTACTACGACTACACAGTGAGGGTGTTTTGCACCTACATGCCGACAAATGCTATTGATAATTAAAGTTGTGCTACTTTAGCCTTATCGGCAGATAGGCCCGATGGGGATAATTACTATTCATTAGTGTTGATTATTTTCGTGAATAAATTCTACTTGGTTTAGCTAGCATCTTTTAAATCCAGAAAGGGATGAAGTAGTACTTAGAATATTCTTATTCAGTATATCCTGTAGCTCAATTTTAAAGTACAGTAATATAATTCATCCTTTTAACAGTTAGTATTGTTAAAAAGTGGCATGGAGTAATTTCAGAGTAGGGTTATTTAACAAATTTCAAGAGAATGCCTTTTATATGAATTACAACAAAGCTAAGGACATAAATGTTTTAAATTCAACGCCTTTTCAAAATCAAACAAGTCATTTTTTTCAAGCATTAGCAGCTTCATTGAAGGCTGTTTTCAGTGTAAACCTGAACTCCACAGATACTAGTCGAACTTGTTAATGGCGAGGCATTACAACTTTAGCATAATTGACAAATGATTTAGGTGTATCAGCAGTTTAACACCACCTATTATGGTGTTGATCATTCTGTATATAGACTGAAGAAGAGAATTGTTATGGGCAGTCCTCCTGTTAATCCAATCATCGAAAACATTGTTATGGCTTGGCTATAAAATCAGACAATCGACACGGGAACTGACAACATCAGACCCACTTTGTGGAGACGGTATGTAGACTGCAGTTTGGCCATCATACCACCCGATAAAAAGATAAAACATTTCAAACATGTGTCATAATCTGTGATATCAGATGAGCAGTGCGACAAGAATAAACAGTATTCGCATTCAATAATGCCATCTTGAAGGAATGTGCAAGATAAATTGTCATTTAACATTAAGGTACTGTCCATTGGTCAGAAAGATCTGGAGCTAGTTTGAGATATCCACCTAATTAGTATTTTATGAGACAGGAATCAACAGATTGTTAAGGAAATCAAACATATGTATGGTGATCTGTTCTTTTAAGAAAACTAAGAGTTGGGTAATGCTAGGCCTAAGAAAGAGTGTTACTGCAAAGACATTTTGTAAATCGTTTTAAAAAATTGAAAATGACTGAATAATATGTGATATTGTTAAGTTTTATTATTTTTTAATGATTTTAAGAATGTATTAGAATTAAGCCATTTAATCTGACAAAAAGAGAAAAAAACTCTTCCTCAATCAAAATTGTGGCGTCATACACGTTAACGTTGATAAAGATAGCAGGAGCTATCGAAATATCCGTTTGATTTTGTTATAGTTTATTAGTGTAATTTCCTCAAAATTTGAATTTTTACTCACTCATTTTTCTACAGAATAACGAAAACATTACATTATAAGTGACCTAGTTCGACTATAATGTAAAACATTTTCAAAAGCTGACAAGCTACGTTAGAAATAGATTTTGATTGTAATCAGGTCTGTAAAACTGAAACAATATAAATCATGAAAGTCTTCAGCTATATTTCAGCTTAATTGAGGGAAGAATAATGAATTTTACGGACATTTTCACTGTCACGTGTCGTTTACTGGAGCAAATTGATGTATTTCCGCATTCCGTTTATGGTATTAGATAAAACACCAAAAGAATAAAATTCAACGTTAATTTCTGCGGTTTACTGTTTTAAAAAGACGAACATTCAACGAATACAAGATATTTCCTTATACTAATTAACACTACTGCTTAAAATGATAAGAAGCATGCAGCCTATCTTCTTTTAGTGGTTATATTGTTTTATTGGATTTTCCAGCAGTACTGGGAATAGCCATTGTTTTTGTTCTGTTTTTTTCCCTTTTTCTTGCATAAATTTTTTCTATTTTTTGCACTGTTTTTTTTTTCTGGCCGTTACTTTGGTCAAACAGTAACGTACACCGGATATTTCTGTTGTGTCCGAACCACAAGGCTCGATGTTTAGCGAACCGCAAGGTTCGATGTTTTGCTCCCTGTTGAGCGCTTGCTGTTTTTTTTTTTTTTTTGTTTTTTTTTTTTGCATTAAATGGTTATCTTGAAAGTTTACCTACGTATTATCATTCCTCATTTACGTCAACCTAAGAGTGACAAATACAACACTGGCGACGAGGCAGATTTAGAAACCCTTGCCCTAGACGTACGCATGTGAGTTGGTTATTAGCAATAACTCTTTTCATAACATTGAAGAGAGTAAGTGCAGCCGTTCGTTGGGAATCCGTACCTTCATCGCTCGTCGGCGTGGTGTTCTGCGAGACACAGCACGGAGTGCACTTGACTGCTACATAGCAACCACATAGCAATGGCAGAAAGCTAACGATAGGCTACCTTAGAAAGACCCATCTAAAGATAGGACGCTACGTAGGCCTAGTATGGCTACAGCTATAGGAAAGATTGATGTATTTGATGGAAGCGTGGAGTCATGGGACGTATACAAGGAACAGTTGGACCAATATTTTATTGCTAATGATATAGAAAATGCATAGGCGTAGATCCGGGGGATGGGGGATATATCCCCCAATATTTGACAGGGGGATGGTCCATTGTATCATCCCCCCCAATATTTTGACAATGTATGGGATAAAATGGAGATTTACACACTTCAAAGACTGTCACAGAAATAATTTGCACTGTATTATGCGCTTACAAAGATGAAAATTAGCATAATGTATTAATATTGATAACAAAATTATTTTATCTGGTACCAATCTAAGCTCTTCTTTCCTTAGATGTTAGATGTGCTGGCAAAGAGAGCCACATTTCACACTGAAGGGTGTGTACGACATCAGTAATGTTATGTCAATTCCAAGAATGTTTATGGTTATATCGGTTGATGAGGCATTTATTGATTAGGCCTATAATAGCAAATTGCATCAATTTATTTTGCAAAAACAAGGTTTCCAGCTTCAGAGGGGGGCACATATCTCCTGTCCGCACAAGGGCACATATTGGTGCTAACACCAGGCGCGTAACAGGGGTCTTGGGTCAGAGTGGGTATTTATTTTTTTATTTTTTTTTTTATTTTTTTATTTTAATAGAGGGTAACCCTTCTAGTTTAGCCCAGTAGGTTAATTGATATTCAGGACCCTCTCTAATAACATTAAAGAACAGTACAAACAACATCATTACAACATAATAATAACAACAACAACAACAACAACAATCCTAATTCACCATCTATACACATTGAGGCCCATCTTTTAGGTTAAAATGATCTATCTTAAATTTGTCCTTCTTGAGTTTGGGACTATTATCTGTTTAAATAACTTAATAGGATAAAACTAAAAAAGCCCTAAAAAATGCGCGCCAAGCGCGCAAAATATTTTTGTGTTTTTAATTCTAATTTCGTCGGAATTGATAAAAACTCCCCAAAATGTGCAATTTTATAGAGAATTGGCCTACCGCAACAAGAAATGCGCGCAAAGAATTTGAGAATTTTAGGCACTTTCAGAGGATGCATTTGTCAAGGGGTGGAGAAAGATTTTCCAAAGATGGATATTTTCCCCTTGTCCCCCAGTGTTTTTAATGTTAATTTCGTTGGAATTGATCAAAACTCCCTAAAATGTGCAATTTTTAAAGGAAATTGGGCCATGTTAACAAGCAATGCGCGCGAAATTTGAGGTTTTTAGGCACTTTCAGGGGATGAAAAGGCATTTATAATGGGGTGGGGAAGATTTTTCAAAGATAGATATTTTCACCTTGTTCCCCAGTGGTTACGCCATCGGGCAGCATAGATCAAAGGAGTTGTGACAGTTTTTAAAGTGAAGAAGGGGTTGCAGAGTATAGTGAGTCTGGTCATTATGATAGCTTCCTTTTTATTCTTGTCTTTATTTTTCTCTTCTCTTTTTCTTTCCTTTTCTTTTCCTCTTCTTTCTCTTTCCCTCAACCTCCCCTATTTCTTTTCTCTTATTACCCAGCCCGGTACGACGGCTTGGGTAAAACCCGTCGGGGGAGGGGCAGTTTCCCCCTCCCCCCCGCCCCCACGCCTGTTACGGCGCCTGTTACGACGCCAATCATCCCCCCGAATGAATTTTTTTTTTCTACGCCACTGAGAAAATGTAAAGAAGGTCCCTGCCCTACTCAGTTTGATAGGTGGACAGACATATGCATTGTTACGTGATTTAACAGCTCCAGATCGTCCAGCCACTAAAACCTACAATCAGTTAACACAGATTTTGCAAGAACATTTTGTTCCAAAGCCAATTATGATAGCAGAACGTTTCAGGTTCCAAAAGCGGGATCAGGGAGATCACGAAAACATACGTGAGTACAATGCGGCTCTACGTAAATTAAGTGAATGGTGCGAGTTTGGCAATACACTGTCTGATACATTAACAGACAGGCTGGTGTGTGGTCTCCGGAATGAGACTATACAAAAACGGCTGTTATCAGAATCAAAGTTAACTTACAAGAAGGCCATAGAGATAGCCATTGCTATGGAAACGGCTTTTAAGGACGCTATCGAGCTCCAAAAGCATTCAAACACAGTACACGCGATGTACAACGAACGCCCAAAGACGAGTGTAAGCAAGCCACGTAAACAAGGTAAACCCTGTTTTAGATGCAATGGCACTAATCATGATGAAGCTCAGTGCCGTTTTAGAAATGTTACATGTCATAACTGTAAGAAAAGGGGACATGTTCAAAGAGCATGTCCAGGAGCAAAGGCTACAAATGAGCCTGCATTTTGTCATACAAGGAAGTGGTCCAACAGAGGCGCACATTCGCTTGAATATGACTCCGAGGAATACGGGGATGAAGTAATTAATAACGTTGAAATACACAAAGTGAAACGAGATGATGTAATCTGGGTAACACCCACCATAGAGGGACTTCTCTTGTTGGAAATTACGTAGTCAATAAGGTTGCGTGTTGCAGCATTGGGACTTTCCCCATGAATGCCTTTGGATTCTCGTATTTCATCCATCCACCTTCTTTTCTGTCTACCTCTTCTCCTGACTCGATTTCTTGGCACCCAATCCAAAATAAAGGACATAATACATCGTGTAGCATAACTCGCAAAGAATGTAGTCCTGTAAATAAATGAATTAAGAAATTGTCAATTAGACCTGTCTCTTATACACATCTAGATGTGTATAAGAGACAGACAATGCTGTGGGAAACAATGGCTGGATCT